AAAGATGGGCATAGCTGCGCACATGCACGTGCACATATATATGTGTGCACGTTTGCCTCCTGTGTAGGCATGTTAGATGTCCAGCCGGTCACTTAATTGTGATGATCTCAAGGTCAAATGAAGGGCCTCATCCACAGAGAAGAATCCTCCCATCGGTCGTGTAATTAAGACCGTGTGAGTCGGGTACCAGTCTTGCGTGCCAGCTTGCAGCGGGAGTCTGTGCCACAGCACCCACTGCTGGGTTCAGGCAATTTGTGTTGCTGCTCAAGCGGGCACCCCCCACTCCCCTTCCTCTCTCCCAGGGTGCAGAGCTTCCTAATTACACCTCTTCTTTCCATTGACTTTGCTGGGATTTGGATTTAGGCCTTAGATACGCAGTTTTTATGCTACAAGTTTGAAGGGCCAATTTCAAATGAAGCCAACTACCACAGCTCTGAATTCCAGCCACAAATTGTACGCGCGTTTACGGTGTGAAAACGTGCACCATGGAAATGGTGCGTTAGTCTGGAGCACAGTAAAATTGCTGGTGCGTGTTTCCTGCTGTACAAGAAGCAGGAAATAACCATGCAATGCCTCCTGGAAGATGTTGAGATTTGGGGATTTACACTTGCGCGTGGCAAAAATAGTATCGAATATCACTAGCACTCATCATTGATGTGTGACTCGATGAGAGTCACTACTTCCATGTAGTGATCCCTGGCAATGTCTGATGGCCAAGAGCTCCTGAATCGACAAAAACGCCAAAGCCCACAAAGATAAAGATGCCGTTTTTGCCGTACAAAAGAAGTTATTGGCGTCACAGTGGAGCCTAGAAGCTCCAACCAGCGGGGGAGTCCGTTTGTGATGGGTCCTGCAAATGCGCGTGTTAAGAGCCAGTCCTTGCTCCAAGCAGAAGGAGAAGGAGAAAAAGCAGAAAAATTAAACAGATGAATGGAGAAAGAAACAAGGTTATTAATCCTGAATTACAGAGACGCTCTTCAGACATCAGTGACTTGGCCAGGATCACGCAAATTATCAAAATTTGGAGGAGCTAAGCATGCCATCTTCCAATGTCCGCTTTGAAGGAAGCGCTCTTCAGGTGGATTAGATGTGTGTAAATAGTGGACCCTGTTCAGGGCTGGGTTATGCTGCCGTCTTGCCTCTCCGTGGGTGGCTGGAATAACAAAGTGGTGTTGGCTGGTAGTTTTTGGAAAGTCTAAAAATTCCCAGTTTATATAAGAAAGCAATGCAGGCAGAAAGCGTGCGCCTGTGTGTATGTAAGATAAAAGAAATGACCTCTCGGAGACCTTTGCGAGTTTTATTTATAGGACCATACGAATTTAAGTTATAATGAGGTGTAACAAGCTCTCTTATGCTGTTGAACAAAGAAGTCAGCTTATTAGGTTGCATGTATTCTACTTTAATGGTGTGGACTGACAGATGAACTTGAAGGAAAGATGCAGCTGTGCATATCAAAGCTTACAAGATTCCCCATTCAGTGGCAATTGCGAATGAACAAAAACATGGTGAAATCAGTGATTCTGGTGTTAAAATAAGGAAGCCTGAAACCATTGAATGCGTCGACGGTAAAGTGATGATTTCCAAAATGGAGACAGCGTGTTCTTGGATATCAGAGAGGTGCCATGTACTTCCCCCTTTCATGTGAAGTTGCCTTAGGTAGCGAATTTTAAATAAACCCACAGTCTTTCCTAGAGTGATTCCTGACTTGTTCCTGGAGGTTTACAAGTATTTCTGCTCCCTAATCAATGGGTGAACGTGTTTGAAAATTGTGATAGATGAATGACAAGGTAGACTTAGTGAGCACTTTTCTTCCAGAAAGATCCCGGTGACCTTCATGCACCCGCTGGAGACGAGACATAGAGTCGCTTCTCCCGTTGCTGAATGTAACCGCCTCTGGCAGCTTTTCTCCAGTATGTAGAAATAAATGCTTTGCAGTGGGTTGTGACAGGAAGTGATGAATACTTTATCTATTTTTAAACTCCAGGGGACAATATGAGATACGTAGATTATTTATCCAGATTAAAATTTGACCGGGGCATTGTTTGTAGGTCTCCTATTCTCGTGCAAAGTTGCACTGTATTTTTAATGGCCACAATGGAGCCATGAATTAATTTCTGCCTTTGCCTTTTTATGCATTCTTAGTTAAATAAAACTTGAATCTTGTCCTAATTGCAATTCTCATGTTAATTTAGCTCTGATTCAGAATTTCCATCATTATTCTTTGTAGTTATCACTGAATTATTTTTGAAATAATGGGAAGTTCAGGGAAGATGCTCCAGTTTGTGATTGCACCTTTGAATTATTTATCATATTCACAGAGAAAAATGCGGTTCAAATGGAGCTTGAGCTATAAGCAAGTCTCAGTAACTAAATGGGAAGGGGGTGTTCTTCAATAGGATGTTGGAAAGGCCTCAACTATGATGAAGCCTCTGTGAGAAAATGCATCGTAAAAATGATCCCCATTTCCAACAGCTAAGTATATTAAAAGAGACAGGCCAGAGAGAGGGTGGGTGAGGTGGGCAGTTCTCAGCCCCAATTTAAAGAATAAGTTAGAGACAGAGCCAGGAACAAAAGACAAGTGTTTGTCCCGTGATCCATCACCCAGTAGGTCACAGCTTTCCTTGTGCTTTGCATGATAATATCGAGGCAGGACAGTAGCAAGTGGTACCGCGTTACTGTGCTGCCGCATACCCCACCGCTGGGGCAATCATTTATGCTCGAGGTCTTTGCCACAAGCTGGCTGGGGTGCCGGCGCGATTCGGGAAGAGAGAAACTGGAAACAAACTCTCAAAGAAAAAAGGAAACTTGCTTAATGTAAGCGGCAGTTTTGCTAGAGGTGAGTGAAGGGAAATTCTTCATTTATAAACGGTTCATTGACCCATGATAATAAAGCAGTGCTGCAGAAGAAGGATAATTATCTACTTAAGTATCAGATGCCCTAAGGGTAACGGCTTCCCTTTTTTCCTTTTGAAAAATGAACTCAGATTAAACAAATGTCCCTTTTCCTCTTTCACTGTTGACATGAATTTCCTTTTCACAAGTAAAATTAATTAGTTTTTTCTGTTCCTTTATTCCTGGTATGGAAATCAGGTCTGCGCAGCTAGTTTCCAGCTCTTCCCTGGGGCCCCAAGTTCAACCAGCAGCATCCTTTATGAAGGTGCTTTGTACAGCGTTCGGGGAAGACGGGCAGATAAATTACTGGAGCTTTATTATGCCCTTTAGGCACCTTAGGCTCGGGCAGGGGCGTAGCCTCCTAGAACCAGAAGCCCTCCGAACCACAGCATATATTCATCTCTTTGGTGGTTTCATTAGCAAAATAAATACCAATATGCTTGTACGGTTTGTTTTGTTTTTTGTTCCCAAAAATGTTTCATTTCAATAAATTAGGGAGAACTCATGGGGACAGCACAGAGACTTACTGTGCTCTGTTAAACAACAGAGGCTGCATCTTCAAAGCTGCTTAGCACCCCGAGTCTCTTGAGAGCAATGGAAACTGGTAGATACACGTCTCCCTGGAAAGGGCTGGCCCCATTTCAATATTGTCTGTCGCAATTTTGGTTCTGAAAAGCGATTGGGATGTGGCCTTGATGACTTCATCCCCGGAGACCTCAGGTTATTTCACAACGGATTTGCAAATCTGCTTCCTTTGCCGCACTTGGGAACGCGTCCTGTCTCTATTTATGCAAATAAACTGTCCCCTCAATGTATTGATTTTTCATTTCAAATCTCTCCCTGGGCACCTTGAAAATCCTCCTGATACCACTTCAACTTTTGTCTGAACCTCTTAGCTTCACAGCAGCGCCTGGTTACTTTTCCTGAATATTTGCAGGCCTATAGGTGCTGTGAGCATACCTGTGCTTCTGTATTACACTGACATGGAGCTTGAATTTCTTTAAAGTGTTGGTAAAGCTCTCATTTTAGTATTAAAAAAGTAACAAGCCATTCACTTTTCATACCATTTGCTCATCCAAATTCACATGCAATCAAAGGTGCTGTTGAGTCCCAGGGGAGCAAGTCCTTGGAGGTGCCCAGAAGGGCTCTCCTGCAGCATGGGCATCCAGATCCAGCTTCCAGAGCTGGCTCCCTTGACCACCCCAGAAATGTGTCAGAAGTGACCGTCGGCTGCGTGTGCAGCATGCAGTTACAGAATCGGGTCCGTCATTAGGAATGATACAACTTCCTGGTTTCTCTTTACTGGCAGAATAGATGGTGCAGTTGTGCTTTAAGCAAGCCCTTTGCGAATGGTCTTGGTACATTTTCATTGTTTACTTCATGGCTACACTTCAATGACTCAAGAAGTGGTGTTGCCAGAGGCAGAATAAGTAAAAAATGTGTCAGTGAACCTGGGGCTTCACAAGAAACAGCTCTAATTAACTAACTAAGCTTATAAAAGTACATCATGTTAATAATAGATGAGCATTCCTAGTGATTTGCAATTGCAGAGTTACTAAAGTAATGACCCTGATATTCTTCATGCAGACCCAGGCTTTCAACTTGGATGTCCTAAAGCTAGGAATATGAGACCAAGACGTTCAAAAGTGACTACCCAATTGGGATGCCACACACTCGCCTTTGAAAAATCAGGCCCTCTGAGCTGTCTGGGGACAGACACCCGAAGTCACTACCTGCTTTTGAAAATCTTGGCCTCCAGCTGCCTTGAGCGCTAGGAAATGTCGGCAAGTGATTTTTTCAGTGTTGTTAAGACACTTCTCTTAAGGCAGCTACATGTTAATTTAGGTGAGAAAATTTGGACCTACAACAAATGCTTAACGGAAAGGTGAAGGTTTCTGAAGTAATCCTAAAATGATCTCTGTTTTCACTATGAAACCTTCCTCACTCAGCTGCTGTTCTTGGCATGACTCCTGCATCAAGAAGAATATAAAGGGGAAAGGGATGTGCTCTCCAGGAAGATAGACACCTCATTGCTCCAGTGAACGGTATGAATACAGTCATTTTGCTCAACGTGGTTTGCATTTATGCCTTAACCAAAACAACCTCAGATGTCCTCGTCTGCCCTCTCCGACCGGCAGAGCGTTTCTGCGACCTGCGTCCTGAAGAAGTGGCTGATTTATTTCGTGCAACCCAAATGGTCGGGAACGTGGTGGAGAAACACTTCTGTGGCACCTCGCTCACCATTTCAATTCAGGTTTGTCGAGTACCTCGCTGAAAAAGCCGTCCTGTTTCCTTTTAGTATTTTGTTGAGTTTTCAGCCTTTGTCCTTGTGTCGCTGGGTTATGGAGCTTCAGACTTTAAGGGTCAGTCAAGGTAGAGCAAAAAAAAAGGGAGCGCAGTGCTGTTTTTTGCAGCATACAGCAGCTTGCCAATTCCCCGCTGTAAGAAATGGAGTCGAGTGCTGTGTCCTGGCTCCAAGAAAAGTCTGGAAAACAAATGGGACCCAGACACATTACCAGTTTGTACTCCTGGATAACTTATACGGTGGTATGTGGAGTGGCCAGACAACTCACCGCTAAAGAGAGCTGCCTGCAGCAGGCACTATCACAGTGGCTGACTACAAGGTGGGGAGGTGGGGATTGCCTGTTTGCATTGAGCATATGGCTGCCCCGGAGTAAAAAAGCTGCCGATACATACTGCCCGTGCACTGGTATATATGACATTGGTGTGGTGGCGTTCCTGCTACCCAAGGGGCGGCTTTGCTCAGGAGGGGAGCATCGTGCGCCAACGCAAGGCTGCAGTGCACATGGTTGCGTTTGCACCGGGGGGAAGTGTCACGTGTCTGCACCCCTAATTCTGCAAACTCCGTCAGGTACGGTACCTACTGCCATGACGATTTTCAGTGGCTCCCAGTAAGTGCTGCCCAGGCTGTGCAGGGTAGGGCTCATAATGCGGGTCGTCACAATGCGTGAGTAGCTCGCTGCCTGTAGGGACTAGGAAGGGAGTCTCTCGACACGCAGCCTAGCATGGCATCATGCAATTTTATTGCCTGACTCAGATGCATCTCCCGAGACAGGGCACTGGAATAGATGGACTTCTTCTTCTGTATAACCTCACAACGTCCCACGTGTAAATCAAATCTGGAGGTCAAACCCTTTTTTAATGTAACAAGTCTTTAAATAAACAGGCCTTGATTTAAAGCAGCACTTAGTCTGTATTTTACATCAACACATAACAGAAACCTTATTGCTAGCAATTAAAAACTGTGATCTGAGAGCATGAAAAATAACAAGTGTGCCAGTATTTGCTTCCTCTTAACATATAATTTCTCACTTTATCATGGCCTGAAAAGGAAAAGCGTCTGGTCCCAGAAGCTTTGTGCTGATGGTACTTGGGAGAATCCTATAAATTAACACACAATGAAATTGGATTTAAATTATTAATAGGTAATATTTCTGAATCCCCATGAGATCCTTGTTAGCGCCTCTCATCCGAGTCTTGTATTTTTTTTGCTTACAGGATGGCCCCGAAGCTGGACAGACGGTGAAGGTGAGTGCTTATTATGCAGGATACAAATGAATAAGAGACAATTATGAGAACTAATAAAAGATCAAAACGAGTCATCTGCAGAACATTTCTGTACCGTTATTTTATCCTTGAGCGCAGGAGCCCTGTGCCTGTAATGGTTGTAAATAATTTTATCTAAATGGCATGGGACAGTGTTTACATTTCCCTTCTATTCCAGCCAGAGTTTTCAGTCATGAAAATGTCATTTCTTCTCTTCTTAAAAAGAGTCTGAGATGGTAGCTGGCTCTACTTCATTTCACATGTATAGTCAGCTAACAAAAAAAGCCATTTTCTCAAAATTGTTGTTTTTATGGTAAAAATATTGCCTTTCCCTCCATAATCTTGTAGCTTTGCTTTTTTATGACCTATTGAGTTGAAGCTGATTACAGGAACAATTGAACTAAACCATGTTGGACAAACGCACGGCTAATCCATCCCTTCTTCCTCCACGTTCTCGTCATATCCTTGTTACCAAAGTTCAAATCTAATGGAGCCAATGAAGCTTCAAAACAGATCTTAAGCAAACTAGTGCAAAAAAATGATTTAATATGATATGCTCCACTCAAGTAATAAAATAGATAAAGTCCAAGATGGTTCTGCAGCCATGTTTCACTCCCCCATCACAGAAATGCCTGTGTAGTTAGATTATATGCCTGAGCATTAGATAAAGGCTATTTATTATACTTGGAATCAAAGGGAAGTCAAAATATGGTTATGCTTTAGCACTTTGCAAAATCAGATTAGATGCCTCACAGAAGCTGCTTGGGTTGATTAAGGGAGCTCTAACAACCACATGATGGCACAGAGAAACATTTCACTTCCCTTCAGTTTGCTGTACTGACCTTCTTTCTCGTAGGGCTCCCGGCGATTGCTGCAAGTATCTAGCAGAGTCGTGCAGGGAGGAGAGATGGAGAAAAGCCCATGCCTTTGAGAAGCCAAGGGGGTGTGTAGTAGTGAAACACAGGTGCCCACAGTGCAGCAATGAAGCACTTTCCGCAGCTGCTTGTGGTAGAATACAGGCTGGCACCGGGCACGGGACAACCATGAGTGAAAATGGGTTTAAATGCCATTTTTCCCCCACAAAGAGTTTTGTTATTAAATCCAAGTTGTTCTAGCAGGCAGCTCATAATATGTTTGCCAGTTGCTGCATGGGGCGGAGAGGGGGTATTCCCCCCTCCACACCACCGCTACTCGTGTCAGGGGGGTTTATGCCTTCCTTGGACTCGGTGGGTGTTGGCTGCAGCTGTGGTTGGGCAATTTGACCTGGCTGTGCTAATGTTTCTGCCAGGACTTAAACCTGGAGGTTCCTGGCTGGAGGGTCTCGCCCCGCTGCTCAGGGTCAGACTGATGCTGTATTTGGGGTCAGGAAGGAATTTTGCCCCATGGCCAGATGGGTATTTTTGCTGTGGGGGGGGACACGGCCCTCTCCTTGATATTGCACGAGTATATATTAACAGCCTTTACAGCAGCAGGACACCGGGGACCGTGATCCCTTGGCTGTCCCTGGGGCAGGTTCAGGTGTGATGCCTTGTGTAGTGTCAGGGTTGTCTGTATAGTTTTGCTAAGAGGTTAGACAATGGGGTTGGGTTTGGATAGGGATGATCCTGTCTCAGGCTGGGGGTTGGACTAGATGTGACTTCTGGAGGTCCCATGTCCAGCCCTACAACTCTATGACTGTCATTTTTATGGTTTCTTTCTGTTGCCAAGAACACATGATCCCCCCAAGAGAGAGGATTCCAGGTAGCTGCTATTTTTAGGAAGTGATCATTTGTGTTAATGAGAGAAAATTAGAGATGAAAAAATATGATGGCCTTCTCAATTTGTGGATAATAAAAAGTACATGTTTAATCTTTAGCAAAGCAGGTAGATATTATTTGTAGCTTTTTATTTGTGCAAGGGCCAGAGGCCGTAAATGGGTCTAGTCAATGAATTGTAAAGGCATTCAGGACTTCTCCGAGCTCCCAGACTACCCTTTTTACAAGTGTAATGAGATGAAAATGACCCGTGGTTCCCGCAGTCAACTCTGGCAGTCCGAGATAGAGAGTGTGTTTTCATAAATCAGAGGTTAGGAGTTTGCATTTTTCTACTTTTCTGCATCATTGGGCAACGCTATAATCTATTGTCATCACTTCAAGATGTTTCTCTTCTGCAAACACAGACAATTATTCTGTTCAGAGAATTAGGAGCTTTCAAAATCCAACTCAAAATTATTACTATGATCTGAACCTTCTTTAAAGGAAAGAAAGCAGTAAGGTGGGTCTCAGTAAGTTAATCACGGTGTTCCTCTGTCTGTTGAGGTTCATGAAGCCTGAAGCAACCTACATGAGACATGAATAGCTTTTAAAATCTTAAATCAAAGGGGTTGTGCCTTTCTGTGCATGTGCTGTTTATGTGGAAGAGGAGGATCAGGGAAAGTGTGGGTCCCTTGCTGAATGGGGTGGCAGCCCAGTGACAGAGGATGCAGAAAAGGCTGAAGTGCTCAGTGCCTTTTCTACCTCAGCCTTTGCCAGCGCAGGCAGCTCCCCAAACCATGCTGCCCGGTGCGGTAGTCTGGGAGGAGGGGAGCAGCCCTCAGTGGTGAAAGAACAAGTTAGGGACTATTTAGAGAAGCCAGATGTGTATGAGTCCATGGGGCCGGACAGGATGCACCCAAGGGTGCGGAGGGAGTTGGCTGATGTAATATCAGAGGTGCTGACCTTTCCCTTTGCAAACTCCTGGCAATCAGGAGAGGTCCAGGATGATTGCAAGCAGGCAAACATAGCACCCATCTTGAAGAAGGGGAAGGAGGAGGATCCAAGGAACTATAGACCAGTCAGCCTCACCTCAGTCCCTGGAAGGACCATGGAGCAGGAATGATGCAGTTGGGGCTGGTCCGGCTTTGAGCAGGGGCCTGGACTAGATGTGACCTCCTGAGGTCTCCTCCAACCTGGTTTCCTATGATTCTGTGTGTAAGGAATGCACTCATATTTTCCCATACAAAAAATACCCTATTTTTTTCTGTTACAAAGGCTGCATTTACCTACAGCGTGTATTTTTGAGCTTGCCCTTCCTGTACAACAGGCCTCCCAGTGATGCCCGGGAGCAGGCTGGCTGGCAAAAGCTTGGATTTGGAGCCTGCAGGTTGGCAGGGACTGCAGCCCAGCTGCGGGCAGTACAGGCTGATTGCAGGCAGCCTGGGAGGAGGCGCAGCTGGCCCTGATTAGTGTCTGGGAGCTAAGGTCTCCTAGGGAGGGGAGCCTGGGCTCAGACACAGAGAAGGAGGGAGAAGGTGCTTGGCTGTTGGCTGCAACACGGGGCCAAAACTGTCCCAGGGTCCCCAGGCTGCAAGGCTGGAGGCAGCAGCCCTGAGACGGAGGGAGGGACCTCACGAGAGAGAGAAGGAAGACCGCGCTGCGGCACTGAGGGAGCAGCACGGAGCCGGCCTGGCAGCACCTTCTCAGCGGCTGGGAAGAGAGCCCAGGACTGTGAGTCTGCCCTTTCTGAACTGCATTTAAGGACTGTATCGTGTTTAAAGGCTTTGTGAGCTAAGCAATACCCCCAGACCCAGTGCATCCTCACTGCCCGCTTACTTTGCTTGATGGGCAGCTGGATCAGAGCTCTGGAGCCATCATAGGACTTAGCCGAACAGCAACACGGCACAGTCGCGCTGGGGTTACTGGGTGTCCCAGGGTGCTGTGCTGGTCCACGTGTTGCTCGGCTCTCCTGGGTCACCTCCCTGGTTCGTTAGGCTGTTGCAGACTTTGCTACGGTTCGTTCTTGATTGTAGGAAGCGTGTCCATCCTAAGCTCTGAAAGGAGCTGTGTGGTCTCGCATGCACCATCACAGATCAACAAAGTGGTCATGGGTCCAAGTGAAAATGGCCCTGGAGCTGTGACTTGTGCACCGGAGAAGGCCAAGGAGCCTGGGTTGTGAGCGCGTAGGTTAGAGACTTGTCTGTGTGCACGGGTCGCGGGTCAGAGGAACCCAAGAGACTCCTCCTAGGTAGGAGCTTTGCAGTAGAAATGTACTCTCAGAGCTTTGTAGTTGGGTCCTGGGGGCTGGATACTGAGCTCCAGGTGTATTTCTGCCACGGTACCCTGTCACTAGAAACGCTGCCCAGGAAGCCATGCATTTAGGCAATATTTGCACACGGCAAGATGCCAGAATTCGAACATGAGCCACATGCATCACGGTGATTGCTCTCATCGCCTCTGTCACAGTAAAGTCCTGATCATGTACATTATGCACAGACTTAATCTTTCTTTATGCAAGTTGAAGCACAGGGCCCTATTTTAACTACCCTATAACCCACATTCCCCCTGGAAAGAGCCTATCCTTTTATTTTAATGACTGACAACTATTTTTATTTCCATGGCACCTTCCAAATCCTAGTCCTGGATTAGCACCCCTTGTTGCAGACTGCATTTCAGTTTGTGTGTGAGGAGGTCTGAAAAACATTTGCTAACCAGGCCTTGCACAGATGTTAGAATCACCCATGGATTTTCCTTAAAGGGACTGTTTAAGGTAAATGATATATTTGAAAATACTCTCATGCTCAGGTAGACAGGGCTGTAATTCTGGAGAAGAAAGGCTTTTTCCTACGTAGGGAAGAAAGGCAACCAGGTTGAAGCATCAGTCTCCAGTCACCCTGTGCCATGGAGCTGTTCCAGATGTTGTATGCCAGTGGTTCCAACATGTGGGTCCCAAGGCCGTGATACCTGGTCCATAGTTCATGAAGGTCCTTCATACTCTGTGGTGTTTTCAGTTACGTTTGATGCCAAAATGAGAGAGCTTGCAGGCTGATTGTAATCTCTTGGTCCAAAATGTCTGGGAACCGCTTCTTGCTACGAAATGAAATTGTTCCTCTGGTCTTGGCATAGTTGCAGTGGGTTGTATGAACCGTATACGATGGACGCAGTGTATGCATTTCAGTCTGTCACCTTTTCCGCGTCCATCCAGGACGTGTTGCTGTCAGATGGGTGCCCGGGTGTCCAGCAGGTACC